CCTGATTGTTGGTGCAGTAAGACAGGAAGCTCTGTGTTCTTGCATCCAACTTACAAGGATAGATGCTCTGAAATTTTGTTGCCTCTTCTTTCACCTATCAGACCTGCAATTGTGCGGAGGCAAGTTTATTTCCCGGACAGGAGGTTGATCCAATTTGACTGTGGGAAATTGCAGGAGCTTGCCGTCCTGCTCAGGAGGTTGAAATCAGAGGGTCACCGTGCTCTGATATTTACTCAGATGACAAAGATGCTTGATGTTCTGGAAGCTTTCATTAATTTGTATGGATACACATACATGCGTTTGGATGGTTCCACCCAACCAGAGGAGAGGCAAACTTTAATGCAACGTTTCAATACGAACCCCAAATATTTTCTTTTTATCCTGTCAACCCGTAGCGGTGGTGTTGGCATAAATCTTGTTGGGGCTGATACAGTCATCTTCTATGATAGTGACTGGAATCCTGCCATGGATCAACAGGCACAAGATCGATGCCATAGGATAGGACAGACACGAGAAGTCAATATTTACAGGTTAATTAGTGAGAGTACTATTGAGGAAAACATATTAAAGAAGGCTAATCAGAAGCGTATTCTTGATGATCTGGTTATTCAGAGTGCTGGTTACAACACTGAATTTTTCAAGAAACTTGATCCATTGGAGTTATTCTCGGGTCATAAAACCCTTCCGGTTAAAGATATGCTGAAGGAGAAGAGTAACGGTGATGAAGCGGAAGCTTCCCTGTCTCATGCGGATGTTGAAGCTGCTCTCAAGTATGCCGAAGATGAAGCAGATTACATGGCTTTGAAAAAGGTTGAACAGGAAGAGGAGGTAGACAACCAGGAATTCACGGAAGAAGCTATTGGGAGGCCTGAAGATGATGAATGTGTGAATGAGGATGAGGTGAGGGCTGATGAGCTAGGGGAGCAAGAAATGACACCACCAAAAGGAGACAACGGAAGCAACTTAAATGGGAACGACACGACTGAAGAGAAAGCCCTCATTTTTGCTGCCAATGAAGATGATGCTGACATGCTCGCTGATGTTAAACAGATGGCTGAAGCAGCAGCTGCTGCTGGGCAAGCTATTACAACATTTGAGACTCATCTGCGCCCAATTGATAGGTATGCAATACGATTCATGGAATTGTGGGACCCGATAATAGACAAAGCATCCACTGATCCGCAAGATGGATTTGAGGAGGCGGAATGGGAACTTGATCGTATTGAAAAGTACAAGGAGGAAATGGAAGCTGAGATTGATGATGATGAAGAACCACTGGTATATGAAAGTAAGTCAATTTTTATTTCTTGATTCATTTTACCTACTGGACTTGTCAATTGTAATCGATAGGTGGTTTTTTACGTATGCCTAGAACTTTTCAGCTAATGCGCTTGCAATATGGCCGTCATATCTGTGTGTTTGATCTTTTATGAACTTTTTTAGTTCCTTTCCCTATACTAATTCGTGGCTTCTCATTGGTACCAGGTTGGGATGCTGATTTTGCAACTGAAGCGTATCGACAGCAAGTTCAGGCTTTAGCTCAACATCAGGTCTGCTAATCTACCGCATAGCATTATTTCTTGTCATTCTATGTCCATCTGAGTGATGAATGATTTATTTTTCTCGTGTCCTTCAGTTGATGGAGGAATTGGAAGCTGAAGCCAAAAAGAAGGCGGAGTTGGATGCTGAACAATGCGACACTACCATGTAAGAAACTCGTAACAGTTGCTATGGATGTTTTAGTTTAGTGCTGTTTTAAATAGTTCTGTTAGATTGCTATTATAAATCCTTGTCGCAAGCACACTCATTCCTATCATAGAGGCAGAGAACTCCATATCGTGGCTAAGTGTTCGCATCTTATATTCTTTGTCAATTTATTGGGTTCTAGAGGATCTTATTTGTTACTATTATTTTATAATATGCATGTCGAGTTTGATTTCATGCATGAATGACCCAAAATCATATTTTATCTGATTTCGTCTTTGCCTGGCTGTAGCGGTCTGACTTGCACGTTTTTTGAGTTATTGATTACCTGAACAAATTTTCCGATTGCATATTGGTCATTTGATCTTTTTTCTCTCTGGCAGGGAAGAAATGCAAACCACTCCCAAACCCAAGTCAAAGAAAAAAGTGAAGAAAGCAAAGTTCAAATCTTTGAAGAAGGGTCCTCTCTCTTCGGATTTGAAACTAGTAAAACATGAACTATCAGTCGAAACTATGTCCCTGGATGATGATATGATTGACCTAGAGGAGGTCTCTAACTCGGGCGTGATGTCATCCTGTTCAAGTGCATTGAAAAAGCGCAAGAAACCTGAAACAGTGATTGATGTTGAGAAGAGCTCAACCAGTAAGAAGCCGAAAAAGCTAAAGAAGGGCTCTGAACCGCCAGGTATTGATTCAAAACTGTCTGGCAAGAGGCACGATGATTCTTTGGAATCAAAAGTCTACGAGAATCGGGTTATTGAACTTGATCAGAAGCCAGCTAGTAGGAGCAAAATGGGTGGGAAAATCTCTATCACAACCATGCCAGTGAAACGCGTGTTAATGATACGGCCTGAGAAGATAAAGAAAGGCAATTTGTGGTCAAAGGATTGCGTTCCCTCACCTGATTCCTGGCTGCCACAGGAGGATGCAATATTGTGTGCTGTAGTACATGAATATGGACCAAATTGGAGTTTGGTCAGCGAGACATTATATGGTATGACTGCTGGTGGATTTTACCGAGGAAGATATCGGCATCCAGTTCATTGTTGTGAGAGATACAGAGAATTGATCCAAAAGCATATTCTGTCAGCTCCTGAGAATCCTGTTAACGATAGGATGAACAACATGGCCTCAGGGAAGGGCCTTCTCAAAGTAACCGAGGTACTTCCTGATTCCATATTATTTATGTGTAGTAGTGAGGTGAAATACTGTTGTCATCTTGTCACGTTCCTGTAGATCAGGGCCTTCACTAGAATCTTCCTTTGCCTACACTTTCTTCATCTATTGCAGATAGTTATAATTTTTTGCTTGTTTCCACCACACCTTTATTTGTGGTCTGATCCTTGTTAGGGTGATGAGTTTTTAGGTGGCACCAACTGAAATGCAATGAGTATCATTGCAAAATTGGAAAACTGTGCTGTCCCCTTAATCTATCATTTTAATGTAACATTATTCTTACCTCAGAAGGAAAAAACTATGAAGTTGGTAGGATGAAATTTGGAAGTTGAGTTGCAAAAGCTTTGCTTGAATTTTGTTAAGACTTATTCTGGTTTTGGATTCTGTCATGTATATTTGTTTTGTGTTAGCTAAATTTGTCATTAAGAACATCTGAAAGGTTGGTTTAATCGATTTATTGAATGGTGAAAACTCTGATGATGCGATGCATAGCACATTTAAATGGTTTCTGGATGGTTCCTGAATTATTGTTATTATTTTTTGACTGAGGCCGTTGCTGATGGGTATCTGCTCAATGGCAGGATCATGTTCGAATGCTTCTAAGTTTTGCTGCTGAGCAGCCAGATCATGAATTACTTCTCCAGAGGCATTTCACTGCACTGCTTTCTACAGTCTGGAAAATGACTTATCACAACAGTACTTATTTTGGTGGGAAATCTTCGAGCTCTATCAGTCGGCCATCTCAGGGTTCAATGAAGGGCCCCTGCAAAAGAATGCGGTTGACTAATTTTGGGCACTCTGGCAAGCTGGTGGCTGCTGCACTTCGAGATGTCAACTACAAGCGAACAGACGATGGTGTCTCTCTTTCAGTTGCAAAAGAACATGTTCCCACTACTGAAAGGTTGGAAATAACCCTGGAATTTCAGGTTGAAAACAATCACGAGTTTGCGTTCCCACCACTCGTGAATGTGTCCATACCTGGGTCAGATGGGCAGACGTCTATAATCAAGGAGGCAGGAGAAGTTCATCTGAAAAACACCGCAATTATGACAGAAACACGATATCGGTATAGTATCTTTAATAATAAAGCTCTTCTCAGTATTTCCATAATGCTTTTGTGAGTCACTGACTTAGGGTTGGCCAAGGATTCTGTCTGATGATTTTAATCGTGTCCGGATGCTACAAGAGCTGATGTTGATGCTTGCCATTATGTGACTTTTTATTTTCTTTGAGTAGAAAGTCATCTTTTGACTGACCCCCTAAATCCATGATATCTCGATTTCTTGCTGGCAGGGACGCAAGGAGAGTGGCCACCGAACCTGGTCCTGGTTTGGTATTAGCCATACCAGCATCAAACGACAAGTTACGTCCAGTTCCTACTAAATTACAACACTCTTCTGGAAAGCAGCAAAAACTGGCTGCTCCTAGATTGAAGCTGAAGAAAACATTGACGGAGCAACGTGAGATGGACGACTGCCCTTTTGCTGATCCGGTGTTTCAATCACCCCCCTCGTTTTCAGCTGATTTATTGGACGATGGGCTATCGACGAACAATTTTGATTATGGTTGTAGCAGCACGATAACAAGCTCGGATGTTGTGCAGGCAGAAACAGGGAGTTTAGATACCTTCCCTCATGTCTATGTTCCTGGTTTGATCTCCGACCTCGATGATTGGCCTGTGTTGCCAGAATTTACCGACATTGGGTAGCGTTTTGACCAACTGAAGTTATATTGTTATGCAAAGGGCTTGTATGGATGGTTTGTTGTTTTAGGCTTTTAGCAGATTCACTCGGCGGATGTGTTCCATTTTCTGGTAAATAGCTGAGGATCTTCACATTCACAGCCAGACTTTTTGGCACTTTTAGAAGGAAATAGCGGTCCCTTCAAAACTTGTGTTTGAGAGGTGTCTGTCTGGTGGGCAAGGAGGGGCATTCAGAAGCTGTAATATAATTCTTTTTCTATGCAGAGAAGTAGCAAATTTTTTGGGGGCATATGGTTTCACTTACACGTAGGCCAAGAAATTACCTATGACTTTACTACTCCATTTGTTACTTGCTGTCTTGTTTGGATTTTGCTTATGGGTTCCTACTTCCAATTCATGTGTGCGAATCTGATATTATGGGTATCGTTTACGAGTACGAATTTATTTATAATACAAACTCACATACAAATTGAAAAAGTACCCAATGTTATAGAACAAATACAATTTGTACCTATACATTTAGGTACGAATTTCTTTATAATACAAAGTGAACTATAGGTAAAATTTCTCATCAGTTTAAGGGTAACATGGAGATACATAGAAAGATGGATAGACAAATGTTAATGTAGGACTTCGGTTTTCTTGATCTTGCACAACAAACAAATGGAAGTGGTTAAACAGTAAACAACGCAGGCCAACATTTTATTACAAATACTAATAAGCGATCTAGATAATCCTTCTTCAAGATACATTGGAGCAACACTTCAACCAAGCTGACCATTGCTCGCCGCAGCCCCTGAAATAGTGCAGAAATGCCGAATTATAGCAGAGACATAAGGTAATCGCCATTAATCAATCCAAGGATGGAAGGGAGAAACAGGGGCTGAGTGAAAGAGTGGTGGAGAAAGAAGCACACAGACCTGCTGCTTGATTGCATCTGATGTCGCACTTGACTTCGCATCGCCTCATCAATCTCGCTGCGTAATCACCAAACACAGAGATGATGAACAAGTGACGAAGATTCAGAAATTTGTTCACTGGGTAATGAATTCCAATCCACCGTATTCTCTGTTAGCAAAACTCTCAGTAAAAATGGAAACTTTATCGCAGAAGAAGAAGGGAATTACTGTTGGGTTGGACGCAGCCAGTGATGCAACCATCGTAGCACTGAAAATCAGGGGCAGCCTCCACCACCGCAAAACCAGAAGACGACGACTTGTCCAAATTACTGCAGACCAACACCAGGCCCATCAGCATCATCACCACCGCCAGCTTCTGCTCTTTCCCCATCTTCAACCCAGAAATCGACCCAATTCGTTGAAAAGAGAAAAAGAGAAAAAGATCAATATATATTCTCCTTGCTTGCTTCTGTTCTTGATTTCTACTGGGTTTGGGCCGACTGATCCCTCTCCGTGAACTGTATATTTATATTGTCTTGAGGAAATCTGCTCTTTCGATTGCTTTTCTGTCCACCACGTTTCTCTAGGGGTATTCTGGGGATTTCCAGCCGAGTCAAACCCAGCAGCCTCTCTTGACGTTCAGTAATGGACACTACCCACCTTATCCCTTCTCATTATTAGAGATGGCTTGAACGAAAATTGAATTTTGCCGAATCAGTTAGTTTTTATAATTCTGAGTTACGAAAAAATGTTAATATTAGTGTTTGAAAGGACCATCTAGTTCCTTCTCAGAAGACCACTAATAACAAAATTAATTTTATCGACGATGGAATCATGAACACGGATGCTTTTAATGACGTTTACTTTGACATGTTAAAATAAAATTTATTGATGATTCTATAATAGAATTACTTATTTTTTTCTCTCCCTAAACTTGACTCATATATATCAAAATTCCTGATGAAAATAAAGTTTGTCTGAATCTCTACGATTAATCATTTCAAAACTTGTCCCTTCTTCATAAATTAGGGTCACCATCATATTATCACCCCATATCAATTAAAGTCTTCATCTTTCGGGTAACGTGGTGATGCTCAAAACCACTTCTTTATCTTCCACTTCTTCCTTCTGGCCAGCTTTACTGGTACTCTTCTCGTCTTTGCCATCCAGCGCCGACACTGAAATCACGACGACGACTTCTCCTTGTTTGGGTTTCTTGTGGTCACCATCATCTGCCGGCGGCCACTCGTCGGCGTCCGTCACCGGAACAACAACATTACGACTGACACCTGGCGGTGGCGGCTTCTTCTTCTCATTCTCACAATTACTCTTGGACTCTTGGCCTTTTCCCCAGATCACTCCGTACAGCCCACAAATGATCAATGCCGAACCCAGTACGCTACAGAAACAGAGAGGATAGAATTAATAACGTTGTATTACTTCACTATGGGCCTGAAGATGGGCTCTCAATCTTGAAAGCCCAGCCCACCATACCAGTTCTAGTCCGGCCACGGCCCAAGATTGGCTCATCACCAATAGTTATTCAGGCCCACTTCGGATGGACGGAGTAACTTACCTTCCAAGGCAAAGTTTGTCGTTGAGAAGGAGGGAAGCGGCAACGGCGACGGTGACGAGCAGGAGAGGGTTGAAAATGGACACGAACAGCGGGCCTCTTTTGCTCACGCACCACGATATCAGCACCACCATCAGCCCCGAAGCCACGATCCCCTATTATCCCGTATCGAAAATCAGAAGAAGAGGTGCGCTGGTCGATAAAAATAAATGAATAAAAAAAAAATACATCTGACTCGTTATGTACATATTTTCATATTTTTCCACGACGAGCAATGAAAATGTATGATACGAGAGGGGTTTATTAAATACGTTCATTACAAATATTTTCAGTGTATACAACACCAACAACTAATCATTGTTAAATTTGATCACTCACAAATCCGATTTTAAATTAAATACTATTCATCAATCTCATAGTAAAAAAACCGTCATTCACTACTTTGACAAACGTACGTGTCGCTTTACAACTTCCGAAAGTTTCATATTTTTTTTTATAATACGACGACATATGAATTTTTGCATCGAAATCCCTGCAACCAGAAATGCGTCGTCTGCGACACATCCCTGTTAACCTAGTTAAGTCCATGCCTACATGATCGTATTATCCAATGAATACTAACAGTTGATTTAAACATATATACGAACTCTGTAAGATCGAGAAATACGCGTGCGCGCGTTATCTAATCGCGGAGAGAGAGAGAGAGCGGTGTATATCGTACCGAATAGGCGACGGTGAGGAGCCTGACATCGCAGCCGAGCTTCCACTGCTCCCAATCCCTCTCCACAAACAAACCCAACCCCACGCTCTGAACACACGCCACGACACACATCATCGCCGTCACCGAGTACGGGCAGCCCGGGTACCTCCGGTTCAGCTTCGCCTGGCAGATCAGCCACAGCGCGTAGGAGAAGCAGCTGCCGAGAGAGAGGAGCGCGCCCAAAGTATGCCGCTGCCCGTGACCGTGACCGGAAGTAGGAGGAGGAGGAGGAGTACTGGCCGCCGTGATAGGGCGGCGGCCGTGATGGGAGTGATGAGCCAGGAGGTCGATGTGCGTCGACGGCCATAGTTCAAGGACGGGGCCTTTGTAGAATGTCAGGAGCATCGCTCCGCCGATTCCCAGCAGCGTCCCTGCCATCTTGGCCTGTCCTGCTTTTTCTCTCCACCGTAACGTTTCCATTCGGAAGCAGATGGCGAGGAGGAAGGTGATGGCCGGGATGAGGTTGCTCATCGCGGAGACGAATGTTGGGGATGTTAGGTTCAATGCCTCTGCGTTGAAGTTCTTCTCCAATGTGCCCCTAAAGTTGATATTGCAAAGAAAATTTTGATCATGTACGTTGGATTGTTTTTCTTACGTAACTCATAGTATTATATATGGTGACGGAAGGACCGTTAGAATTTTTACCCTAATAGACCACACAGAAAAACTTCGAGCAAAATCTTCCAGGTAAAGGTTGGCTGCTTCTTCCTGCACAGAGCAACAGAATTAAATTACCCCTAATTAGCTAGGAACCAAAAAAGGGTTTGGTACAAAGTAATTAAAGTTAATAATCTTCTTAGTGTTTCTCATGTTGTCTTGTATGATATGTAAGTTTAATTAATTAAGCAATGATGTGTGTATACATTTTTGTTGGAATGTCTAGAATATGTTATATAAACGCGATGGGGAAAAAAAATATATGACGAGAGCGAGATGGGTGTCGTTTGTTGCGGTACAGATGATTGGTTGGGTAGGATTTATTTGAGCCAGATGGATGATATAGGAGGGAATAGCCGATTTAAAATTGATTACCAAACATATATTAGAAATTCAATTTTTTGTCATTGCTAAGTCCTTAATTATTATGTCTTTAGAGAATTCAAATATTGGATACAATTTGTGAATCACCACACAAAAAAAAAGTACTTATTTTTCAACCAAGGAAAATGGTGACCAAAAAGCAACGTGTTGGTTTCTAATAATTTTCAAGATCAAACGATTCTCAGATTGTCATATCCGCGCATCACAAATGTCAAATACGACCAAAAAATCGATTTGGATTGGAAAACAGACGTATGATCTCAATCAAAAATGTATTTCATGGTAATAATATACGAGTATAATTATAATTATTCTATCATTCACCCGTCCTGAATTCATAAAATGATTAAAATCCAATTGACGAGTAATAAAAGAGAAGTAAAAAAAAAAAAAAATACAAACCTCTCGAAAACGATTGCAAGGGGAACCATAAACGCGGTGGCGAAGAGAAACCGGTACGCCACCATCACCTGCATGTTCATCCCGTCGTCGGCGGCCAACTTGTACAGGATGTTCGCCGCCGCAAATGCCACCTGAACCACCACCATCAACGAGCTCGCCTTCACCCCATCTGCCTTCCCACCCAAATCCTCTTTATCCATTTTCATTTTCTTTCTCTGTATACTCTAAAATATCTCTTCTTTCTTTCTTTCGGCTTTTCTCACTATCAAGAGCTTTGATGTGTATATATACACATGCTCGTTGATGCCCATTTGGCTGCGCCAGCATATGGCTGAAGGAACTTGAGAGTGTCATTTTGTGGTCTTTCTTCATCGATCCTTGCCCGCTTCCTGCCGGCCGGCTTGCTGCGCTTCCGTTTTTTAACTCAAACTTGCTTATTCCGTGCTTTGTTCCAACGAGAATTGTGGTCGTTTGGATAAAGTCGTTTTTTGGGTTTGTTTTTTTAAACATTGGGTTTCTATTTGTTCTTTAGTGAAAAATTGTATTATTGATATCTTTAGAATTTATAGTACTTACGTAGCTTAGCTAGCCAATACGTATTGGTGAGTATGCCACGATTGATCGATCACTCAACCTGTCATACTTAGCTGGTTGACTACATTGTCAATATTCATCGTGGATAGTTGATATCAATTACTCCACCAATCTCGATTCTAGCTACACAATGTTAGTTGTTATGTCAGCGTACTAGAAAATGACCATGAATGATCACATAATAAACATCCACGGTACTTAACTATGTAACATCTCGTTACATTTGGAGTATTCTTATGGAGTTAGAGAAGAAGAAATCCCAATACACCCAAGATTTCATTTCAGAGGGAAAAGGTGTTGGGGGTATATGAATAAGGAGGCCCCGATGTATGTATGAGGCACTACAAAATAAAATAGCTACTGCAGGGGTTATTTATACATTTAGCAACGTAAATAACCCGCGCTACCAATCCCGCCAGCGGTTGCTATAACCCCAGTAAAACCGACGCTAGACCGAACGCCGCAAGGGAATGCCAGGGGTCGGCCCAACCGCTGGTGGATTCTCTTGCAGCGGTTTTGCAGCGGGAGCCCTTCTAGTGTGCTCTATAGCACCCATGCTATAAAAAACAAAAAAAAAAGGTGACCTATTGAGGAGGTAAACCCACTAAATGACTGGTCCCACATCATTAATGGCAATCTTGTAAATAATGAATCAATGTATACAAGTGTAGGTACAACTTAAAATTGTACCATTAGTATAGGTACAAGTTTCAGCTGTACCATTGAAGAATTTGTTTCACAAAGTGTAGGTACAACTTAAAGTTGTACCATTAGTATAGGTACAATTTTGAGTTGTACCATGAAGGGATTTATTAGAAAGTGTAGGTACAACTTAAAATTGTACCATGTTATAGGTACAAGTTTGGGTTGTACCATTAAAGAATTTTGAGAAAGTGTAGGTACAACTTAAGGTTGTACCATTAGTATAGGTACAATTTTTAGTTGTACCATAAGGGATTTGTTAGAAAGTGTAGGTACAACTTAAATTTGTACCATGGTATAGGTACAATTTTGGGTTGTACCATAGAAGGATTTTTGAAAGTGTAGGTACAACTTAAAGTTGTACCATTAGTATAGGTACAATTTTGAGTTGTACCATAAAGAGATTTATTAGAAAGTGTAGGTACAACTTAAAGTTGTACCATTAGTATAGGTACAATTTTGAGTTGTACCATAAGGGATTTATTAGAAAGTGTAGGTACAACTTAAATTTGTACCATTAGTATAGGTACAATTTTGAGTTGTACCATAAAAGAATTTTGAGAAAGTGTAGGTACAACTTAAAATTGTACCATATTATAGGTACAAGTTTGGGTTGTACCATAGAAGGATTTTGAAAAAGTGTAGGTACAACTTAAGGTTGTACCATTAGTATAGGTACAATTTTTAGTTGTACCATAAAGGGATTTGTTAGAAAGTGTAGGTACAACTTAAGGTTGTACCATTCGTATAGGTACAATTTTTAGTTGTACCTTAAAGGGATTTGTTAGAAAGTGTAGGTACAACATAAAGTTGTACCATAGTATAGGTACAAGTTTGGGTTGTACCATAGAAGGATTTTGAAAAAGTGTAGGTACAACTTAAGGTTGTACCAATAGTATAGGTACAATTTTGAGTTGTACCATAAAGGGATTTATTAGAAAGTGTAGGTACAACTTAAAGTTGTACCATTAGTATAGGTACAATTTTGAGTTGTACCATAAAGGGATTTATTAGAAAGTGTAGGTACAACTAAAAGTTGTACCATTAGTATAGGTACAATTTTGAGTTGTACCATAAAAGAATTTTGAGAAAGTGTAGGTACAACTTAAGGTTGTACCATTAGTATAGGTACAAGTTTGGGTTGTACCATAGAAGGATTTTGAAAAAGTGTAGGTACAACTTAAAGTTGTACCAAGGTATAGGTACAAGTTTGGGTTGTACCATAGACCGATTTTTAGAAAGTGTAGGTACAACTTAAAGTTGTACCATGGTATAGGTACAAGTTTGGGTTGTACCATAGAAGGATTTTGAGAAAGTGTAGGTACAACTAAAAGTTGTACCATTAGTATAGGTACAATTTTGAGTTGTACCATAGAGGGATTTGTTAGAAAGTGTAGGTACAACATTAAGTTGTACTATAGTGTATAGGTACAATTTTTAGGAAAGTGTAGGTACAACTTTAAATTTAGTGTAAAGGTACAACTCTAGAAAGTGTAGGTACAATTTTGAGGAAACACGGCTCATCTCACGGCCGTGACATGACCCGTGACAAGCAAAAGTAGTTTTCCTATCTCCAGACAATCACACGGCTTATTCTCACGCCCGTGAGAATCAACAGATGAGCCGTGAGAGGTACAGCATTCAATTCCAAAACACGGCTCATCTCACGGCCGTGATAATGTCGAAAGCAACCCGTGAAACCCTCTGGGAAACTGAGACGTGCGTTTTTACATTCACGGCCTATCTCACGGCCTATCTCACGGCCGTGATATTTCCAGAATTACATATCCAAAACCACGTCTTCTTTCACGGCCGTGGGATTTCCAGAATTGGCCGTGAGATTTCCAGAAATAGTCTGCACAGACATGCACCTGTACAACTAACCCTTGTACTTATTATAATGGTGCAAGTAACATAATATACTGTTTGTGAAAACTACAAGCTTATGAAAAGATGAGTCATAATGTTCTTTGAAGCTTGACACGAGCATTACATAGATCCTTCTCTAGTAACTGTACATCATATCAGATGAGATACCCTGTTAACAAAAAGTAAAAAGCAGTCAAAGCTTTACATTTGTCTTATAAAACAAACATCCATAACACGATTAATGCTTAAGTTTAGATGCATGTAGCCCACACTGGTGCATCATAATATTCTAATTCGAAAACATACAAGCACAAAAGCAAACACACATAGCTAAGTACTAAGGACTTTGGTTGGCTCATCTTCACTGCCCATCTTTCTCGTTAGTGTTCTCGTCCTCGTCTTTGTTTTCCTGGATTTGCTCATCTTCATTGTCCTCGCTAGAGTCACTGCTGTCTTCCTCATTGGTCCCTTTGACCTCTTGATTTTTTTCCTTGTTTTGGTCATCGCCATTGCCCTCGTCGTCCTCTTCACTGCTGTCTTCCTCATTGGTCCCTTTGTCCTCTTGAATGCTTTCCTTGTTTTGTTCCTCTCCTTTCTCCTCTTGATTTTTTTCCTTGTTTTGGTCATCGCCATTGCCCTCGTCGTCGTCCTCTTCACTGCTGTCTTCCTCATCGGTCCCTTTGTCCTCTTGAATGCTTTCCTTGTTTTGTTCCTCTCCTTTCTCCTCTTGATTTTTTTCCTTGTTTTGGTCATCGCCATTGCCCTCGTCGTCGTCCTCTTCACTGCTGTCTTCCTCATTGGTGTCACTGTCCTCTTCACTGCTTTCCTTGTTTTGTTCCTCTCCTTTCTCCTCTTGATTTTTTTCCTTGTTTTGGTCTTCGCCATTGTCCTCGTCGTCGTCCTCTTCACTGCTGTCTTCCTCATCGGTCCCTTTGACCTCTTCAATGCTTTCCTTGTTTTGTTCCCCTCCTTTCTCCTCTTGATTTTTTTCCTTGTTTTGGTCATCGCCATTGCCCTCGTCGTCGTCCTCTTCACTGCTGTCTTCCTCATCGTTCCCTCTGACCTCTTGATTTTTTCCCTTGTTTTGGTCATCGCCATTGCCCTCGTCGTCGTCCTCTTCACTGCTGTCTTCCTCATTGGTGTCATTGTCCTCTTCACTGCTTTCCTTGTTTTGTTCCTCTCCTATGTCCTCTTGATTTTTTTCCTTGTTTTGCTCATCGTCATTACCCTCGTCATCCTCTTCACTTCCCTCTTCATTGATCTCCTCGGTTGGCCTAGGAGATAGTTCCCAAGGTCTTGAGAATTGTTCGTAGTCAATCCTCAAGGACCTCATGATCTGATGGTTGCATTCGATGATGTAGCGTCGAGCTTCCTTCTCTCGATCGAGGCGGGAGAGAATGAGTGCATTTTGCTCCAGAATTTGGGCATTCTGCCGACCCAATGCCTCAAAATGGGATATGTAGCTGTCGGTGGATGGTCCGGCTTGAGTCGTAGTTTGGTGATGTTGTGCAGGTTGTTCCGGAGTCTCCTCGACCATTTGCTGAACAACATGCTCCGATGCGTTTGCCTCATCTGTTGCAAGAGGTCGAGCAGGATGAGGGAGGCCAACAATGCCTACCACACCATTCTCCTTAACCACCAAACACAGACATGATCAATATCAGAAGCATTAGTTACATTTGCTCAATGTTCAAAAGGAACTAGATTAGTAGGCAATCCAAAACTTGCACAAAATCAATCCTAGATTGTTTGAATCCCGACTAGTTATGTTTTAGCATTCACTGTGAAAAGGAAAGTGTTGGTTGGAACATTTACCTTTGACAACAAATTTAGATCCGCAAGGTTTTTTTGGGAGATTGGTTGAGTGGACTGGGCAATGGTGCAATGAGAACCCACCGGATCAATGCCAAAATGCCGAGCTAGCCTTGTGATGTAGGCACCTCCATGGATGGTCTTGATTTGTTTGTTGGAGGTGATCTTCTGTAGGGTTTTCAATATGACTATACCAAGATGAATTGGGGGATCTTTTACCATAGAGAGG